GAGGGGCGCGCGAGGGCGCTAACGAGGGTGCGCGCGAGGGCGCTAACGAGGGGCGCGCGAGGGCGCTAACGAGGGCGCACGAGGGCGCTACGAGGCTAGGGCACGGGGTAGCGTGGTAACCGCATGCGAGCGGTGGTGGGCCCTTAAAAAAAACGGTCGGTAGGTCCTAGGGACCTCCTGCTCTGAATACCATGTCAGAATCCCAGCCACTAACCACTATACGTATCATCGCGAACAGATCTTTCCTACAATTCTCTAGGTACTGCGGCGACATGCGAAGACTTTTGAATTCGTTGAACAACGTATCATTCTTTTGTAATAATCGACGTGTATCAGTATTCAACATATCTTTAGCCGAATATTGACCAACATGTTCGATTTTTTTTCTCGTCGCACACGTGTGCCAATTACGTTGTCCATTTGAATTAATTCCAGCTTAAACATTTTGAAAAAAAAAAAAAATATATTTTGCGGACATGAAGAAAAACGCGCATCTTTATGAAGGAGTTCCCATTTTGCAATATCACGATATTTTAATGCCGATACATCGACATTTGGCAATCGAACTTATCCGCAAAATAATGTAGGAAACGCTAACTCCTCAACATGTTTATCCATCAGAATAGGCAACGGTCGCGACCTTTCGCCGGGCGCCATTTCAACTACAAATTGCTCTAGATTTTGATACAATGGTTCGTTACAAATTATAGTGTCCAAAATTCCAACGTTTAAATCGCCTTCGTCAATATCCACTTCGACTTCATCACCGAATTCAGTGACACCTTCGTTAATCGCCGCATAATTGTTACTTTGGCCATCGTTGCTGTGTGACAAAAACTGATTGTGAAGATCAATATCATCAATCTCCTGTTGTAATTCAGTCATTCTTTCATTATCTAGTCTTATTCCAAATTTTTTGAACAAATATTTCTTCTCCAAAAACGAAATGGCTCGTAATATCTTGGCGGGTCTCACGTTGTCATCATACACATCATGTCCATTCTGCAATTTGCGTTTAAAACGCACACGAACGGTATGAGTTTCTTGTGGTAGTCGAGGCAATGCAGTAACCATGTCAACAACCTTGACTGGAACATTTACTACCCCGCCGCGTATCTTGTACTGTTTTCCAACGTGCGTTTGTGTAATGCTTGAAAACACAACGCGCGGTGAAACCAAACGCTCTTCCAAGTCCGACAATCCAGTAAGTTCGTGAGGTCGATTGGGTAGCAATGCACCTTTTTTTCGAGAAAGTATGGGCGTTTCTTCGCTCATGATTGCAATATTGAGAAAGCTTGCTTTCTTTCTTATCAATTGGCATCGTTCTCATTACAAATGGCGTATTACAACATTTGTATCATCATTCGACACAAGCTAGTGCGGACTAATAACGCTAGCTAGGATATACCCTATCCAAGTGGCATTAGCAAGGCGGTTTACTCTGGGGTGGGTGGTGGGAATGTTGAGTGAGCCGTTTGAAAATTGAGAAACGTGGGTGGAGGGAAATGAGCTCCAACCCACGGTTTTTGTAGTTGGAGAAGGGCGTTTAGCGCGCTTCGACGATGCCAATTGTGCAGTACAAGCAGCTTCGCTTTCACAATACACAATTTTAAAAAACACTACATGTGTGTTTAAAAATTATAATATTGAGAAAGCTTGCTTTCTTTCTTATCAATTGGCATCGTTCTCATTACAAATGGGTTCCCTGAGACATGGGCAGCGGGGGCCTTCGGTTGCGTACGAGTGCCTCTGTGTGTTGTGCCGATGACACCGCATGCGTCGAATCTTGGAGGGTACGGGAGGCTTCGATAAGAGGCTCGACGTATGGCGTAACATACATTTCCTTTGCTGTGTCGCTTCGCCATCTGCCCAGCCGTTTGAAGACTCTATCTGGCACTCCCGTGTTGGCTGCTACTGTGGCTGCACCTTTTCGGAAAGAATGGGTGCCTAGCTGCAGCTCTCCAAGGCCAACCTTTGCGAAGGCTTCCTTGCACCAGTTCCGGATCGTAGTGTAAGAAGGTGGCCTAGCCTGGCCCTCGCTGGTTGAACCGTGACCGAAGACACGAATCAATGGTCCCTCTGACCGTGGACCATAGCCAGCGAGTCGGATGAAGCGTCGGGTGCAGCGCACTGGGCAGCAGGGGTCCGCCGTTGCTGCAATGGGTATCCAAGTGCCGTGACCAGCTTGATCGGTCTTGGAATGTGGTATGAGAATCCACATGACCTCGTCGTCGAATTGGATGTCTTGCCATTTTATGGCTACTAGGTCAGAGTATCGCAGAAATCCGGAGTACATGAGGATGGGGATCAACCCTTTCTGAAATTGCGCAGGATCGTCGGACTGCAAGTAACTCGCGGCCATGTCCCGGACTTGTTGGATCGAGACGGGTTCCTTCAGACGAGTAGGGCGAGGGCAGTGTCGTTTTGCACAGTCACGGACTTGGGTGGTGAACGGTCCGGTTGTCGGGCATTTGCTCCCAGTCATGCGATGAGCGAAGCTGACCGCCGAGCACGTTAGCTGCACTACGGACAGGGTGGCTTTGCGTCGGATTGCGTGTACCAGGTACAGCGCGAGGGTCATGTCGGATGCCGGAAGGAATGGAAGGTTCACTTTTGTGCAGAAGGCTCGAAACTTGGCCCAGTATGGTTCATATGTCCGGATCGTAGAATCGGCGCGGGACTGCGCGAGCATGTTGATCAGTTGGTCGTGTAACTTTGGGAGCAAATCTGAACACAAGGTGTAGATATTTTGAATTAGTCAAATGCCACTCGCAGTGCAGTGATTGGGCTGTGCGGTAGTCCCATGCCCGAAAAAGCAGTTGAATGGGACCCTACGTCTAGGCATTGGCTTCCGTGTGTCAGGGGGATGTGCGCGTGGATGTATGGTGCCCAAGTGCGTGGGGAGGGTTGCAAGAGTGGCCACCAGCTTGCACCTGGCCAGTGCGGAACTATCAGTGTGAGTGATGCATGGGTGCGTTGTGCGTGATGGAGGACGGCTGGGATCAGTTGAGGTGGGGGGAAGGCGAAGTTGTTTTCAGGTGTCCACGCGATCGAGAATGCATCAACTGCAATGGCTGCCGGGTGGGGAATCTTCGAACAGAATCGCGGCAGTTGGGTGTTGCGGAAGTTTGCGAAGAGGTCGATGGAGTGAGGACCCCAACGACGTTCCAAGATCCGGAACCACGGCGTTTTCAGCGCGTAATCGTCGTGGTCGACCATTTTTGAAAGCTCGTCGGCGTGTGTGTTGAGCTCGCGCGGAATCCATTCAATGATCAAGCGCGTGCCAAGCGCCATGCATGTTCGGATGATGCTCTTGCATGCCGTTGTGAGGTCGGGGCTGTGAGAGCCGCCTTTGCGAAGGATGAAGAATACGCCCTGGTTGTCCACCCGCACGAGAACGTGTTTTTGCTTGATCTTGTTCGCGTACGTTTGTAGCGCCCAAAGGACGCCTTCGATCTCCCGTCGTGTGCTAGACGTTCCTCGTAGCGGCTCTGACATGGTCGCGCTAGCTTCTTCGAGGCCACCCGGAAATGTGGTCAGAGTGGCGCCCCAACCATGAGAGCTGGCATCCACATGGATTACCGCGTCGTAGCTGTTCTTGACGTGAAAAGGTGCGCCGTTGAAACGGTCGAACTCCTCGAGCCAAAATTGGAGCTCTTCTGCTGCAGATGGGGGGATAACGACGCTGCTTTTCCATGACGGTGCGTCGTTGATCACTTGTAACATAGCATGGCTGAATGCGCGAGCGGTCGCGCCAAGTGCGACACCCATCGATGCGAGCATGCCAGTGATTCTGGCCACGTGGCGGACCGGGACTGGGTGGCATGCCTTGCTTGCGCTCAGGAGGTTCCGGATGGTTGCATGTAGTGAGGCTCGTCGGTCTGGACCGATGGAGAATCGGCCGGTATCGGTCTCAAGTTCTACGCCCAGGAATCTGAGACGCTGCGATGGTGACAGTTGTGATTTCTTCGCGTTTATCACAAGGCCTGCCTCTTTAAGATCCAATATCACCCGCTGGCAAGTTGCTTGCGCGTCGTCTTTCGACTGGCAGAGAAATAAGATGTCGTCCACGTAAGGGACGACTCGGATGCCTTGTTCTCGCCAACGCCGAGCTAGTTGCTTAATGAGCTGCGTGAAAACGAATGGAGCTGTCGCGAGGCCGAATGGTAGTGAACGGAATGCGTATGTGCGCTTGTCAAATTCAAAGCCAAGGAACTTCCAGCACGATGGGTGGATGTCGATGTGGTGGTAACCAGATTTGAGGTCAATGGAGAACATCCAGTCCCCAACGCGCGCCAGGTCGGCGACGCGGCTGAGCCCCTCGTACTTGAACTTGGGGATGATCAAGTTGGCATTGACTTTCCTCAGATCAAGAATGAGCCTGCATTTGTCTTTTTGCTCGACCACGTTGAGTGGACTTATGCACGTAAGCTCCGTTGCGGCCATCGGAATTGCCGCTCCCGTCTCTATGAGTTCTTGGATGGCGGTACGTGTGAACGTGGCATGCGTGTTTGCCCCGACATGATTGCGATCGTGGAAATGTTGCGGTGGGCCGTGGCTCCATGGCAACCAGTAACCCTTGGCGATGACGGAGAGGACAAGGCTGCTGGGGCACCATGAGCTCCACCACGCAAATGTCGCGCGGAGACGACCGCGCATGTGTGTAATAGTTCTGTCTGTAACGGCAAATTCGTACGGATCGTCGTAGCATGCCGCCTCGCACCGTCGTGCTCCTGTACATGTGAGGCCAAGTGGTATAAGGGTTGAGTATTCCATGTTAAAGCATGCGTGTGCATGTACATGTACGGGCAACCATTGATCGAAGGTGTGACGAGAATTAACCATTGAATGAAATGTCAACGAATGTGTCGGGAGTGTTAACGCATGTCAACGCATGTCTCTTCTTCTCCTCGTTTCCTCTTTTTTTTTTTTTTTTTTTTTGTCCCGTCGTCCACTTGGTAGGACGGTTGTGCCTGCCCTTAGTGCGTGGGGGCTGATGCCTAGGGCCATGGACACCGTTGTCCATTGTGCTTTCTCTCATTCTCTCTTCTCTCTCTCTCTCTCTCTCTCTCTCTCTCTCTCTCTCTCTCTCTCTCTCTCTCTCTCTCTCTCTCTCTCTCTCTCTCTCCCCTCTTGATTTTCATAGTCTCTTTACCAAAACCATAGGCCTTTAGGAAGGTAGTTTTTATTAAATCAACCAACACACATAGCAATGCTTTCCTAGCATGCATCATGCCACCAAGTGGCCAAACATATGGGACCGAGGGGTTGTTGTTCCCCTTCCCTCTCCTAGGCCCAAAGCCTATCCCACCCTTTACTAGGGCTGGCCTCTTGCCATCGCAAACCCCTAGGGTTGCCCACGGTCTTCGCACTCAAGAGTGCACCGTGCCTAGCGCCCAAGCGCCTAGTCCCATGGCCCGCTCCTACACCACCGGAGCGGGTCCCTGGCCGCCATGCCCGTTCCGAGGGCAGGCACTTGCCACGTGGCCCGGCTGGCCGCAGCGGAAGCATGAGCCTCGGAACCCACGGCAATTGGCCGTGGGCGGGGGGCCTCGCTTGGGTAAGAACGGCATCGGCCCGTTGTTTCCGCCGCGGTTGACACGAGCGTATCCGCTTGCCGCACGGTCCATCGCCGCCATGTCCGCGACTGCCTGCTTGAAGGGTCGAGAAGTCAGCAGGCTCTTCTGCTGGTACAGCTTGAAGCGCTTCGCCGTGCGGAAGTCGGAGGCGTCCTCCACTTGAAGCACCTCGAAACGCCCCGCGATGAGGTTGAGAGCGTGTGAGATGAGTTCGAGTCCGCCCGCCGGATCGCCGCGCTGCGCCTTGTATTCGGCGTGCAGCAGGTACGCCCGCAGGTCCTCCAGCAGCTCCGCTTGCTCTCGCACGGAGTCGTTGACGAAGGTTGCCGCCGAGAAGGTAAGGTTAGAAGAAGGGAGGGGGGGGAGGTGTTCCGTGCCAATAAAATTAGCATTGTTGACGGGAGCCTCACCGGCTTCATCTTCAGAGTCGTCGGTGTCGTTGTCGACCGCTGGAGCAGGGGGAGCGGCGGTCGCTGCGTCGTTATCATGCCGGTTCGTCCGTGCTCCTCGCGTGCCTTTTTCCTTTTTTGCAGTTTCTTTTTTAGCCGACGCAGATGCGGCGGGTAGTGCAGTTTCCGCGGCTGTAACGCTGACGGGTTGCTGCTGTAGAAGGGACAGCAGCGCGTTGACCTGGTCCGGGGTCAACGCCTGCGTCAGCGCAGGGGCGGCGGTCGCGTCAGACGAGGAGACTGCAGTCCGCCTCCTCTGGCGCTGACGCGACGGTCCAGCAGCGGGTGCTGGCGTGTGCTCGGCGTCAGTCGCGTGTGCCGCGCCAGCCCCCGTCGCCACTTGCGCCACAGGTGCCACTGGCGCCACAGGCGCCACTGGCGCCACAGGGACCGAAGGGTGCTGCTGGGTTTCGGCGTTTTTGTTGACCTCGAGCCCGCCCAGCAGCACGTCCACTGCAGTCGGGGCGGACGGTCCGTCTTCTGCCCGACGCTTGTTACGGCGTTCGCCCGCAGAATCGCGGGCGTTACGGTCGGAGTCGGAAGCGGGGGTTGACGAGTTCCCGTTGTTAAGTGTCGGCGTAGGTGCCATCGTTGAGCGATTGAAGTTGAAAATGTCGCTGAGTAAAGTAGAGGGTGACTCGCCTCTAGGAAGCGATTTAATCCTAGCCAGCTTGGAGGGAAAAACTACTCGAGCGGAAATGTTGAGTGAGCCGTTTGAAAATTGAGAAACGTGGGTGGAGGGAAATGAGCTCCAACCCACGGTTTTTGTAGTTGGAGAAGGGCGTTTAGCGCGCTTCGACGATGCCAATTGTGCAGTACAAGCAGCTTCGCTTTCACAATACACAATTTTAAAAAACACTACATGTGTGTTTAAAATTTATAATTTTGCAAGTACGACACACTTTGGTAACGGTACATGCACCGTCTTTCACTATTGACAATTGACGTCTGAATAATAGCTGATCGCAACTTTCGCACGCATGTGTAGGGCCTTCTTTGGATGCTTCTTCGAATCGACGCACTGCTTCTTCAACTATTCTAGCTTGCTCATTTGCGTCATCGTATCGAACTTCAAGGTCATCAAAAATTGTATCTAATTCCCCATCTCGAACAAGCTTGCCGTCCTCATAGAACTCGTCGACATTGAACGGCAATGCTTTAGTGCATTTAGGGCCGAATGCTAAATGCAAAAAATATTGTCTTGCACGTGCTGCCGATTCTTCAGAATCCCATTTTTCGTACATGTAGTTACGTCCTTCCACCATTATTCGGAAACCGAATTTCTCGCATCCCTCATGGACCCCGGCGTATGACGTTGGGGTAGTCGTTTGTGTGTTTCTCCCACGATCATTTATCTTGTAGATATAGTCAAAAAACGGTATATCCACGAGCTTTCCGTTACTGATGAGATAACGCTGATCAAACGGAAGCTTTTGGCGTGTCTTCAATCCTCGATACTTCAAAATATAATATTGCCGTGCCCAAGCAGCATGTCGTTTAGTTGGAAATCCACGAACAGACATTTTTTTATAATTTACCATAAATCGTACGGTAAAACGAGATCCGTCTTCAATAATGCCTAGAAGACCTTCACTGTTTGGTGCAATGTTTGGGATTGAAAAGTAAATATCTCCATTAGAATCAATCCGCTCGTCAGACATGCTGAATCTGACTTCATCGTCTTGTTTTTTATCTTCAAACACATATGGCATTGCCCTTGTTCCATTGTGTGGAACAGTATCGAATGAGGTATGTTCACACTGCGCTCGAGACGAAACCGACCCAACTCGTGCACCAGAGATTCTGTACCGTTCTTCATCTCCATGCGCTTCTTGCATACGGACAGGTTGCCCACTGGTTGTTTGCTGACTTGACAATTCCACACCTTCTTGCACTCTGTCAATACAAATTGGATGCGCATTGTATACTCGCGCAGTAGTTACTGATCCCATTCGTTCGTCAAGATTGCTTGACGGCTCCATAACTTCCTCACTGCAAAAAGATTGTGCACGCCTTGCTTGCTCAAGCGAATCATTGCCGAATGACGCATGCTCATGCTGCATGCCGAACGTTACTGGTTCAACACGTCTACTAGGTACGCTTGACACTTCACTAGCAAAAAACGAGCTACCCCAGATTTCACCCTCATTACACTCTTCAAGTAAAGTATAATGGTTGCTGGATAACAACAAATGGATCTGGTTATCTCCAGATAGGAATTCTAACCCTTCGTATTGCGCCCACTCGCGAGAATTAAGCCATACTATAACTGTTTTGTTCATTAACTCGCAGAATGCTCTGATTTCGCACATTGAACCCCAAACCGATTGTTCGTTGATATATTGAACATACTCGCCTATCGTCGTTAACGACACATCTGTTAAACTGTATTATGCTTGTAGGCTGTAGTGGGGTAGCCAATATGGGGTACAACCCCAACTAGGGTTACATATTTGTACCCAAACTTCTGCTAGTTCATTTATTCTTGCCTAGTTCTTCTGAGATGGTATTCAGAGCAGGAGGTCCCTAGGACCTGCCGACCATTTTTTTTTTAAGGGCCCACCACCGCTCGCATGCGGTTACCACGCTACCCCGTGCCCTAGCCTCGTAGCGCCCTCGTGCGCCCTCGTTAGCGCCCTCGCGCGCCCCTCGTTAGCGCCCTCGCGCGCACCCTCGTTAGCGCCCTCGCGCGCCCCTCGTCAGCGCCCTCACGTGCCCCTTACTAGCGCCCTCGCGCGCCCCTTCACTAGCGCCCTCGCGCGCCCCTCGCAGTGTCGCCCGCCCGCCGAGCCGCCCGCTCGCAGCCCGCTCGTCCCGCTGCCCGCTTCGCAGCCCGCCCGCCCGCTCGCTGCTCGCTTCGCGGCCCGCCCGCTTCGCAGCCCGCTCGCCCCGCTGCCCGCTTCGCAGCCCGCCCGCTCGCTCGCTGCCCGCTTCGCGGCCCGCCCGCTTCGCAGCCCGCCCGCCCGCTCGCTGCCCGCTTCGCGGCCCGCCCGCTTCGCAGCCCGCCCGCCCGCTCGCTGCCCGCTTCGCGGCCCGCCCGCTTCGCAGCCCGCCCGCCCGCTCGCTGCCCGCTTCGCGGCCCGCCCGCTTCGCAGCCCGCCCGCCCGCTCGCTGCCCGCTTCGCGGCCCGCCCGCTTCGCAGCCCGCTCGCCCCGCTGCCCGCTTCGCAGCCCGCCCGCCCGCTCGCTGCCCGCTTCGCGGCCCGCCCGCTTCGCAGCCCGCTCGCTCGCTGCCCGCTTCGCGGCCCGCCCGCTTCGCAGCCCGCCCGCCCGCTCGCTGCCCGCTTCGCGGCCCGCCCGCCTCACTGCCCGCTTGCTGCGTCGCCCGCCGCGCTTCTCGCCTGCTGCTACCTGCCTGTGCACCGCCGCTTGCTCCTGCTGTGGCTGCTATCTTCGCTCTAGCGCGTCCCCTCTGCTGCTGCCGCTGCTCTGCTGTGCCCTCACGCCTGAGCTATGGCCTCTATTCGCGTTCTTTCCTTCGATGCTGAGGGCCGTCCCGTGCAGTTCACTTCCTGGCTCGACGACCTGCAGTTGTATCTTATGAGCAATAGCACGGACCACATCTCCCTCTATGACTACGCGTCTGGTGCTGCCGCTGCTCCTGCTGCCACAGCCGAGCTTAGTGTTCGTTCCCACTGGCAGACTCGTGACGCAGCTGCTCGCCTAGCCATTCGCAGTCACCTGCCGCTAGCTGAGCTCGAGCATTTTGGCGACTGCAAATCCGCTAAGGCCCTGTACGATGCTGTCGTTGCTCGCTACTCCTCGCCTGCCACAGCCGAGCTTAGCCGCCTCATGCTGCCGTACCTGTTCCCCGATCTGTCCACCTTTACTACAGTCGCCGATCTTATCACCCACCTTCGCACTAGTGATGCTCGCCTGCGTGCCGCCCTTCCCACCGAGTTCTGCGCTAAGAACCCCCCTCCACTGTACTGGACACTACACTTCATAGTCACCCGTCTCCCTGACACCCTCCGCTCAGTTCGAGACCACTTCCTTGCTCGCTGTCCCACTGAGCTCACTGTCGCCCTCCTAGAGGAGCAGCTGCTCGCGGCCGAAAAGAGCATTGTAGCTGTCGGTGCTGCTCGTGGCGCTCCTCGCACCCCCATCTTTGAGGGGTGTTCTCCCTCTCCCCTCGCTCCCTCCTACACTGCTGCTGCTGCTGTTGACTTCCTTGGTGCTGAGTCTGTTGGCGCTGCTTCTGCTCCTGGTGGGAGGCGCCGCACCGGCAAGGGCAAGGGGGGCAAGGGTGGTGGTGGTGGCGCTGGGGGGGGAGGAGGTGGGGGAGGTGGGGGGGGAGGCGGTGCTGGAGGGAGCGGTGGCGGGAGCGCTGGTGGGAGTGGGGTCGGTGGTGGAGGCGGGGGCGGCGGAGGAAGCAGTGGCAGTAGTGGCGGCGGCGGCGGTGGCGGCGGCGGCGGTGGCGGCGGTGGCGGCGGTGGCGGTGGTGGCGGTGGTGGCGGTGGTGGCGGTGGTGGCGGTCGGAGCGGTGGTAGTGGTGGCGGCGGAGGTCGGAGTGGAGGCACTGGCTCGGGCCAGAGCTCCCAGCAGCAGCAGCGTCCCCAGACGACCCAGCAGCTTCGTGAGTGGCTTGCTCAGCGTGGGACGTCGGGGGGCAGTGGCCGCTGTTCTTATGTCATTCGCACAGGTGACCGCAAGGGACAGACGTGTGGGAGGTTCCACACCCCGTACCGCTGCTTCTCCCGCCTTGACGACGCTTGGCGTGAGGAGATGGGTGCGGATGTTGAGCGCCCCCGCTGGGCTGAGCTCATGAGGGCTGGTGTCGATGTCTTTGCTCTTGACTATGATGCTATTATTGCTGCCATGTATGCATTGACTGTTAGTGCCGAGGGAGACTGTTACTTGTGTGTGCCGCCTGACCCAGGTATAGAGCCCGCTGCCCTGGGTACTAGTGAGTCTGCTCTCTCTGGTATGGTGCCCCCTGTACTTGCTCCCTCCAGTGCTGTCCCGGCTGGTTTCGAGTCTGCTCTCTCAGGTACAGCACCCACAGAGACTGCTCTCTCAGGTACCCCACCGGCTGAGGCCTGTCACACCTTCACCCTTGACTCAGGTGCTTCCCGTTGCTTCTTTCGTGACAGTACTGAGCTCACACCGCTTCCTGCACCGGTCCCAGTCTCCTTGGCTGACCCCTCTGGGGGCCCAGTCCTTGCCCAGTCCACCACTGTCCTCCCTTGTCCGGCGGTTCCGTCTGGCTCGTTGTCGGGTTTCCACCTCCCCTCGTTCTCGACGAACCTGGTGAGCAACGCTGTCCTCCAGGATCAGTGGGTTGACACCTTTACCCCTGGAGGACAGCGTGTGGCGATCTGCACGTGCTCCAGGACCGGCCGTCACCTGGCTACGTTTACCCGTCGGCCGGGGTCGAGTCTCTACACACTGACCACTGCGTCTCCTCAGGTCGCTGCTGTCGGTCAGGTGTCTGCGTCAGGTCTGGTAGCCCACGCCTGTGAGTGTCGTTCCCTGTCGCACCAGACTCTTCTCTGGCACCACCGCCTGGGTCACCCCTCCTTGCCACGCCTTCGTGGCATGCACCGTCGCCACCTTGTGTCTGGTCTTCCCAGGTCCCTCCCTCCCCTCCCTGCCTCGCCTGCGCCGCCTTGCCTTCCTTGCGTCGAGGGGCGGCAGCGCGCCGCTCCTCACTCCTCCTCGTTCCCCCCGACAGAGGCTCCTCTGCAGACCCTCCACCTGGACGTGTGGGGCCCAGCCCGCGTTCGTGGTCAGGGCGGTGAGCGGTACTTTTTGCTGGTTGTCGACGACTACTCGCGTTACACCACGGTCTTCCCCTTGCGCACCAAGGGTGAGGTCCCTGCTGTTCTGATCCCTTGGATCCGCACGGTTCGTCTCCAGCTCCGCCGCCGTTTCCGGACGGATCTTCCTGTCCTGCGTCTGCACTCTGACAGAGGTGGTGAGTTTTCCTCCGATCTCTTGAGGACCTTCTGTCAGGCGGAGGGCATCGAGCAGACCTTCACGCTTCCGGACTCCCCACAGCAGAATGGGGTTGCTGAGCGCCGCATTGGCCTGGTCATGGAGGTCGCTCGTACCTCCCTGGTTCATGCGGCGGCTCCCCATTTTCTGTGGCCGTTTGCTGTCCGGTACGCCGCGCATCAGCTCAACCTCTGGCCCCGTGTCTCCTTGCCGGAGACCTCGCCCACACTGCGTTGGACGGGGGAGGTTGGCGATGCGTCGCGCTTCCGGGTGTGGGGTGCTCGTGCCCTTGTCCGCGATACGTCCGCGGACAAGCTCTCCTCCCGCACGCTTCCCTGTGTCTTCCTTGGCTTTGTCCCTGACGCGCCTGGCTGGCAGTTTTACCACCCCACCTCGCGCCGGGTCTTCGCCTCTCAGGATGTCACCTTTGACGAGTCGGTCCCTTTTTACCGTCTCTTCCCCTACCGCACTGCCCCCCTCCCTCCCCCGCCGCTTTTCCTTGCTCCTGGTCCCCCTCCGGTAGACCCCCTTCCCCCTCAGGGTCCTGCTCCTTCAGGTGTCTCTCAGGTAGACCCTCCTCCCGTCGCTGAGCCTGTCGAGGTCACAGGTGACTCAGGTGCTGCTGCGGGTGGTGCTGCTGGGAGTGCTGAGCCTGGGGGTGCTGAGCCTGGGGGTGCTGGGCCTGGGGGGGGTGGGGCTGCGGGTGCTGGGACTGAGGGTGCTGGAGCTGAGGGTCCAGTGCCTGAGAGTACGGAGCCTGGGGGTGCTGAGCCTGGGGGTGCTGAGCCTGCGGGTGCGGGGCCTGGGAGTGCTGGGACTGCGGGTGCTGGAGCTGAGGGTACTGTGCCTGAGAGTTTGCCGCCTGGGGGTGCTGAGCCTGGGGGTGCTGCGACTGGGGGTGCTGAGCCTGCGGGTACTGAGCCTGCGGGTACTGAGCCTGGGGGTGTTGCTACTGAGCCTACGGAGCCTCGGGTTACTGCGTCTGGGGGTGCTCCGGTTCGGGGTGCTGAGCAGTCTCTCACACCGCAGCAGCTTCGTGACTGGTACGTCCGGCGCTTTCGCCGTCCTAGTGGCTCGGCTGGAGTTGGGGGTGCTGGGGCTGCTCGTCCTGGGGGTGCTCGTACTGGGGGTACTGGAGCTGCCGGGACTGGTTGTTCTGGGAGCACTGCGACTGGAGCTGCTGGAGCTGGGGACTCTGGCGCTGGCGGTGCTAGCGGAGTTGGAGCTGCCGACTCTGGGGGTGGCGCTGCTGCTAGTGCTGCGGACCCGCCTGGTGGAGCTGCTGCTGGAGCTGAGGACCCGAGCGGTGGCGCTGCTGCTGGTACTGGGGACCCGGACGTTGGAGCTCCTGCTGGTCCTGAGGACCCGGCCGCTGGAGTCTCTTCTGCTTCTGGAGACGCTGCGCGGCCGCGACCGTACTTCGTACCGCTCCTTCAGCAGGTTCTTGGGCAGGCTCCTCCTCCTTGTCCTCCTCCCTCCGTAGAGTGTCCTCCGCCTGTCCAGCCGTAGTCACAGTTACCGCCTGCCTCGCCTCTCCTTGCTCCCTCTCCTTACACTGGTCCCACAGGAGGTCTTACAGAGCGTCGTGAGCCTGAGTCTCGTCCTGCGTCGCCTGTTCGTCCTGCTCGCACTGGTAGTCGTGTCCGTCGTGAGCGTCCTCCTCCTGTCCCAGGCACTCACTACATGACTCTGCGTCCCTCTACTGCTCCTCGGCGTGTCCCTCTACCGTCTCCTCCTGAGTCCTCTTTGCCTGCCGTTCCGGACCCTGAGTCTGACCGGTATCGCGCTGAGCACCCTACAGTCACGCGTCTCCTAGCTACTGTTGTCACTGACCCTACCTTTGAGTCCTCGGCTGCGTCTGCTCTGGTCGCTGAGTTGGTTGACTTTGCTGCTGCCTGTCGTCTAGACTACGCTGCTAGCCTTGTTGCTGCGTCAGAGTCTGCGTCTGTCTGTCCTCCGTCCGTCGGGGGTGAGTGTGCTCTTGGCACGGACGTCCTTGAGGACAGGCAGGAGGACTTTGACTCTCTTGCGGCTGCTGTACCTCATCTCGTGGCCTGGTTGCTTGCCCCTGAGGGAGACCCGGATGCAGTAGACATCCCCACTCCGCGCACTTACGCAGAGGCGATCTCGGGTCCCTACTCCTCTCAGTGGCAGACAGCCATGGACGCAGAGATGGCATCCTGGAAGTCCACAGGCACCTACGTCGACGAGGTTCCCCCTCCTGGGGCGAACATCGTCGATGGCATGTGGATTTTCAGGGTGAAGCGGCCGCCAGGTTCTCCGCCTGTCTTCAAGGCTCGTTACGTTGCTAGAGGCTTCAGTCAGCGTCAGGGGGTCGACTTCTTCCAGACCTTCTCCCCCACCCCGAAGATGACCACTCTTCGGGTTCTGCTGCATGTTGCTGCTCAGCGTGACTACGAGCTTCACTCTCTTGACTTCAGCACAGCGTTCCTGCAGGGCAGCCTGCATGAGGAGATCTGGCTGCGCCGCCCACCTGGCTTTACTGGGTCGTTTCCCCCTGGTACCCAGTGGAGTCTCCGCCGGCCAGTCTACGGTCTCCGCCAGGCGCCACGTGAGTGGCACGACACACTGAGGACTACACTTGCGGCTCTTGGGTTCGCGCCGTCTACTGCTGACCCGTCGCTGTTTCTGCGCACAGACACGTCGCTGCCGCCGTTCTATATTCTCGTGTACGTCGACGACTTGGTCTTTGCTACTGCTGACACTGAGGCACTCGCTCGTGTGAAGTCGGAGCTGCAGAAGAGACACACCTGCACTGACCTGGGTGAACTGCGTAGCTACCTTGGCTTGCAGATCACCCGGGACAGAGCTCGCCGCACCATCACCCTGACTCAGTCACACATGGTGCAGCAGGTCCTTCAGCGCTTCGGCTTCCAGTTCTCCTCACCACAGGCCACACCTCTGGCTACCAGCCACTCGCTCTCAGCTCCACCTTCGGACGAGTCCGTAGAGCCGAGTGGCCCGTACCCAGAGCTTGTAGGCTGCCTCATGTACCTGATGACCTGCACGCGACCTGACCTCGCGTACCCTCTTAGCATCCTTGCTCGTTACGTTGCGCCTGGGAGACACAGGCGAGAGCACTGGGAGGCTGCTAAGAGGGTGCTGCGTTACTTGTGCAGTACGTCAGGCATGGGGCTGGTGCTTGGAGGACGCGACAGAGTTGTCCTCACTGGTCACTCGGACGCTTCTTGGGTGGACGACCTGGCTACGCAGCGGTCGTCACAGGGTTACACCTTCAGCCTTGGCTCTGGTTCTGTCTCGTGGCGGTCCACCCGCTCTTCCTCTGTTCTCGGCTCTAGTTGTGAGGCTGAGATCTACGCCACAGCCATGGCTGCACAGGAGTTACGCTGGCTCACCTACCTGCTGACTGACTTGGGAGAGCGGCCTAGTTCTCCTCCAGTTCTGTACGGTGACAACAAGGCGGCTCTTGCCTTGTGTCAGGAGCACAGACTGGAGCACAGGACGAAGCACATTGCTCTTCGCTACTTTCTTGCTCGAGAGCTTCAGCAGCGCGGTCAGCTTCGGCTTGTGTACGTGGACTCGAAGGCCAACACTGCTGATATCTTCACCAAGGCGCTCCCGCCTAGTGATCATCAGCGGCACTGTACTTCTTTAGGCCTTGTGTCCACATTTCCTCACTTGCTCACTGCTTGACATTCTTTGTACTGTACTTTATATATATCTTGTTGCTTGCTTGCTAGGTTTTGATCACTGTGTTGCTTGTCTTGTACTATATCTAGCACTGCATGTGAACTGGCCTTGTGGCCTTTACTTGTGCTCGGAGTGTGGTGACGTTGTGATCCACCCTGGGCTTTGCTTTGCTTTGCTGGACTGGTCTTGTGACCCTTTGTTCTCCCCCACTTTGCCTATGGGGGTGTGTTAAACTGTATTATGCTTGTAGGCTGTAGTGGGGTAGCCAATATGGGGTACAACCCCAACTAGGGTTACATATTTGTACCCAAACTTCTGCTAGTTCATTTATTCTTGCCTAGTTCTTCTGCTAGTTTACACATTGCAACCAAGTCTTGATATCGTGACCAGTTGACGCAAACATGCTCAACAATCCTCACTTTTAATTGGTCCCAATAATCATCGTCGTTCCATGTTGAGAGGGAGAGACACCTATACAAACATGCCCCATCGCCACGAACGAATCGCCTACGAAATACATACCTTCGCCTTAACTCACCGTCAAGCGAAGGCCCCGTGAAAAGCGGTACTGAAGAAGACCCCATAGCTGAACGAAAACAACCGTCCACAAGAATGCCTCCCACGTTACCTGCGTATACACACAATTCGTATTAATGAATTACAAATAACAATCAAATGCTAAGATAAGCTGAAACTGGTCATATTATGCAATGATAACACAACTTGAACATAATAAAAAAAAGGTGAAATTTGATCTAACAAGCAAAAAATGTAAGTTTCTTCTTAAAATTTTATTACTCATTACAAAGTAATTCAATAGAATAAAATCAAAACACAAAACAACTCACTTCAGCGCTCTCTGCAATACTAGAATAGTTCGGTGCAGTCAAATTTATAGCTGATGGTTCTGCAAGAAAATAAACAGCACAGGTAACACATTATTTAAAGATAGAATATCCAACATTAAACAACAACATTACAATTTATCCTTCTAATTTATTATGTAGGTAGAAATTTCATTACATAGTGCAACGTAACAACAACTATCCAAAAACTACTCTGATCCTCCACACATTCTTTCATTAGTGATAGAACCAACCTCCTGTATTATATCTTAGGAAACAAAAGTAACAATTCCAAAGAAAAGCGTATAAACACTGGCATAAAAGAAAAAAATACAGAATCATATGTTCAACACTATTCAGAATATGTGTTACGGAATCACATACTTGAATTGCAGACAGTGGCTCAAGAAAAGCTTCTCAACGAATTGAGAGCCAGAATTTGTCAGAATATCTGTAAAAACAACAAAAAAAAAACAAGCAATAAAACATCACATTAGTTGATGCTTTTAAAAAGCTCATCATACATGACACAAAATTATTTTTACATAGTTGCAGTTACAACTCACAATCCTAACTGCACATTGGAATTAGTTGAACATGGAAACAGATCAGAACATCTAGATGTAAAAAAAAAAAAACAATAGCTTGAATGGATGATGTTACCTCTCGGGATCCCCAATAGAACCTTCAACCACAAAAACAAAGAAAAGCAGAAGCATAAACAAAAACAGAGAGGAAAGAATAAAGACAGAGAACATGGGGTAGTACTATAAACGTGGATATGATGTTGACGGCAGCCTAAACACAAAAGAACAAACAAAAGATGAGACAAGTGAGGTTTGCAGCAAGTAAAAAAGGCATGAGAATCAAAGACACAATGACAAGCAGAAACATCTAACTGCATAGAAAAAAAAAATAACAATAAAAAGCTCATTTGACACTATGATATACATACCCGACCTCTTTCTGGAGAACAAATCAGATCATCTCAAAATCAAGGAGAAGATTAGACATGTTGAAATTCCTGTGCAACTGGAAGTTGATAAAGAAAGAG